TCACAATTTGATTTCCCACCCTCCCCCCATGCCAGGGCCTCTGCACATTCCCCTCCCCACATACGAGCACCCCACAATGTTGCCCACCCACAACACAAAGGGTGCTATGTCCGCCCCCCCCCACACAGTGGCATAGTCATGGGTGAGTCTGAGTGGGTCCCCCCATAGCATCCGGGCCCACCCCCATCCAGTGCTTTTGCCAGAAATTTGATTTCCCACCCTCCCCCCATGCCAGGGCCTCTGCACATTCCCCTCCCCACATACGAGCACCCCACAATGTTGCCCACCCACAACACAAAGGGTGCTATGTCCGCCCCCCCCCACACAGTGGCATAGTCATGGGTGAGTCTGAGTGGGTCCCCCCATAGCATCCGGGCCCACCCCCATCCAGTGCTTTTGCCAGAAGTGGGATTGAGGTTTGGGGGATTGCAAGCCCCTGACCCCCCCTCTGTTGGAGCTGGGTAAGCCACCCACCCCGACCCCACTACCCAGCCAGAGTGCCAAGTGGGGGGCAGTGCAGATGGGGGCACTTTTCTTCACCCCTTATTTTCCCAGGGCCCCAGAGCATCAGTCACCTCCCCCAGGAGATGGGTGCGGGGAGAGGTGGCCTTAGTTGCTCCTGGCTCAGCCTCCTGTCATCGCCCACCTGAAATCGGGGCCCCTCCAAGCGTCCCCGTCTGCCTATGCCACTGACACTCCTCCCCCCATTTTGTCTCTCTGAGCCGTCCCTCATGAGCTGAGCCAGGGGAGGCTGCGATCATGCGGGAAGGTGCTTCCCGTCCCCAGCTTTCTGCTCCCCAAAACCTCCCATGGAGCAGCTGTCAACGTGTTACAGGCAAACACCACCGAGCCACGAGATGCCCCCAGCTTGGCTGGGCCAAATCACCCCCCCAAACACACTTCTCCTCCCTTGCATCTGTTCCCCCACTGTCCAGTGCTCAACCCCCTTCCTAGATGTGCCCCCCATGCCTGCAGGGGGGCCTGATAAGGGGTTTCCCTCTTCTGCCTCCAACCCCCACACGCCTATAAGAAATCCACCGGATCCCTCCCGTCCCCCACTCCCCCTGGATAAAACCCGCCGCTTACCCGGCTTCTGCCACGAGCTACAGGCAGGGATGCCCCGGACTTTCTCCCCAGCGACCGATGGTGCTGCCACATTTTAGTCCCTCCTCCCTTTTCGGTCCCTCCTCCTCACACTGATTGCTGTGGGGAAAAGTAGGTGACGGGGAAAAGGGAGCAGATGGAAGGGGGAATGGATCACAGCTGTCTCATCGGAAGCAGCGGGTTGTGCCCCTAGAAGTTCGTGATCCCAGCGACAAGTTTTGTCCGTCTTTGTTGCTTTTTCAGTTTTTTGATCGTGCATGCGGCTGTGGATTATCTTGCTCCGTCCAGTTAGCCCGGCAGGGAGGCCAGGTTCTGGCAGGGGGGTTATTTTTCCATGTAGAAATTAACCCTCTCCCTGCCACAGAACCAGAAATCCTAAAAAAAAAAGCCCCCCCGGTCATAATGGGTGACCCGCTGCTGCCACCAAATTCGGTGGTCCCATTTCCTGCCGTTTAGGAGGAGTTCTTGAACACAGACTCACAGACAGACTCACAAATCTCCAAACATATATATATGCACACAGGAGCAGCCCTAAAAGAGCTGCTGGAAACTGGCGCCCTAGGCGAAATGTGTGGTCGGTGTCCCTGCCTCCAAACCCCTCAACGGCCGTTTAACTTGGCACCCGAGGCGACCGCTTAGTTTGTGCCTATGGACAGGCCGCCGCTGTATGCATAGATAACCGATGTCATGACATCTGCCTGATTCTACAGCCAGCCAGAAACAATCACTCTGAGGGTATGTCTACACTGCCACCCTAGTTCGAACTAGGGTGGCTAATATAGGCAATCGAACTTGCAAATGAAGCCTGGGATTTAAATATCCCGGGATTTATTTTCAGGGCTCACCGAACCGCGGCGAGCCCCGCTCGTCAGCCATGCTGTCCGGCGATCTGCACATGCGCAGATAGTTCTGCACATGCAGAGATCGCCTGAACCTGGCTCTTCCCACTTGCAATCTACTCAAAGAGATCGCCTGAACCTGGCTCTTCCCACGACAAATGAAGCCCATGATTTAAATATCCCGGGCTTTATTTGCATGTTCCCGGGCGGCGCCTTTTTTAAATGCCCCGTCGTTCGAACTACCTGCTCGCAGCTACACGCGGCACGGACTAGGTAGTTCGAATTAAACCTCCTTCCAGGAGGTTTAACGGTAGTTCGAATTAGGAGCTTTAATTCAAACTACCTAGTCTGTGCCGCGTGTAGCCGCGGGCAGGTAGTTCAAACTACGGGGCATTTAAAAATGGCGCCCGGATGGGAAGATGCAAATAAAGCCCGGGATATTTAAATCCCGGACTTCATTTGCAAGTTCGAATGCCTACATAAGCCACCCTCGTTCGAACTAGGGTGGCAGTGTAGACATACTCTGAGATACAAACTAATCTGAGTGAGATGATACCTGAAACAGGAATGTCGTGAGTTACATCGCTGCTCTTCAAAGCCTGGGAATTAGAAGATGTCATGCCCCACATTTATACTGGCACTATATCTAGTCAGGGGAGACATAAAAATTGCTGGGTACTTCTCCCATAGTTCATAGCATAACAACTCACTACAGGGCTCTGTGGGACAACTTGTTTTTCCCGTGTGGGAGTGTAGCGAGACAGGAACCCCCCTGTAACATCCATCTTTGCTTGCCTGGAGCATGCAGGGCACACAGAGCAAAAAAAGCCTTGAACAGAAGGCCCGGATATGCAGGCTCAGTGACCCTGAATGGCTGTAAACAGAGATACGCCAATTGCTGACCAAGCGGCTGCCGAGGAGTGCCCTTGGCTGAAACCCATATTGATACGAACACACAGCCGTCCGCGGGGAGATGAATCTCCCGCTCAGTAAAAAAAGAAAAATTGTCCAGTACTCACAATTTAGTTATCTCTCTTGCAAGTGTAAATTAAGTTGAAACTTGCTTGTAAGAACTGGCGCCACAAAGACAGACCGGTACAATTTGGCATCTTAGATAAGAAAGAGGATACAGGCCCCTATGGGTATAAAGATGGGTCCAGCAGCACACTCACTCTGAATGTCAATCTACCATCTATCTGCTGGTCGGGTTAGGTGTTTGACATCCCGAGGTTCCACAGGGACGTCTACCTCGTATTCGTCTTTCCTAGG